GGGGGCTTCTGTGAGAGACTGTATGTTCTGTGAGTTCTGCAGAGCAGTTTTGTGACTTGCTAATATTTGTGGAATGAGTTTTGCAGGGAAAGATAGAGTATGTGCATTTCTTTGAGGGGACGCGGGAAAGAGAACAGGAGAGAAAGAAGATAATTGGCGTGTAATTTAGGGTTTATATGGAAGAGGAGCGAGTGTGTGTGTGTGCACGTGTGTGTATGTACGTGTGTGTGTGCACGTGTGCTTGAGCATGGTTATACTGGTGCCACAGGAATTTACAGGGTATTGGAGAAGCACATAAACACCAGAAAATCAAAGCTACAAAAATGCAACTCAGTTCTAACAAGCCAGTGGTTCTTAAACTGTGGCATGAACGAAATCCCCTGGTACTTACTAAAAAGGATAGAGGTCCAAGCTAATTGTAGGATGGGGCCTCCGCCCTGAATTGTTATCAATTTCTCCAGGTGATTGTGATATGACCAGAAATGCAGAATCTCTGTGCCACAAAAGTGCTCGCAGATGAAGCCCATTCCCCTTGACCTAGCTAAGGCAGCCATTGGCAAAGAAGGAACCTACTACTAGACTAGTATTCAGATAGACATTTGCTTATTCCCAGTTCTGCCAGTTATTTGTTCCATGATTTGGGCAAGGGTTCCCCCTGCCTTTCTGACCTCAGTTTTCTCACCTGTAAAATAGGCACAAGGATAAACAGGAGAACCTCATCACGCCTGGCCTGAAGAAAAGCACTTGCTGAAAGCTGCTGGAATCTGCGGCTTTTTTGGTTTATTTTTGAGGGCTCTGTCTTGGTTCTACCCCACAACCAGGGAACTGATTTCAGCAAAAAGGCTCAGCCATGTCACCTAGCATGGCTTGGCTTCTGCTGGTTCAGAGCCTCACCCAGTGTCAAAACGGCAACCCTAATATGGTGACCTTCATAACACAGGGTTTGCCAGTGCAGAGTCCCCTGCACTCTGGACAATGTCTTGGGGGCATTTTTGGTTGTCACAACCTTGGGGCTTGGTGCTACTGGCATCTAGTGAGTAGAGGCCAGGGATGCTACCAAACACCCTACAGTGCATGGGACAGCTCCCACCACAAAGGCTTTTCTCACCCCAAATATCAGCAGTGCTGAAGATGGCAGACTCCGCTCTGGGGCAGGGCCAGGCACCGTTACTGTATTAAAAGCTCCCCTTCCTCCACCAGGCTTGAGAACCCCTGCTCTCTCCAGTCGTGCTCCTGACAGCTTCTCTACCCTCACCTTCTCCCCTTTGCCCTCACCTGCCACCATCACAGTCTTTTTTCTGGAATCTGCAGTTTTACAACTTTCTTCTCCCATGACTCTGGTGCAGGAAGGACCAGGTACACCATCTTTGAGATGCATTATTCCAGACCTGTTCCCAGCTGCTTCTCAAACACAGCTCATTATCAGACAAGCAAAGAATACGGTCAGAGTCGGCAGGACACTGCAACAAACATCCGCTTCCACCTGCTCATTTTACAGAAGGAGAAACTGAGGCCTGTGAAACTCTAGATAGCAAGGTAGAAGGGTGAGAGACACTTTCACTCAACTCTATTGGCTTTCAGATTTCACTTGGAGTTCTTCACATGAGTGATTGTGCAGACTGTCAATAGCTTTGCAATAATCCCATAATGACCCAATTGTGAAACAATTTAGCAATCCTGCTGCTAATAGCATTTGTGGCTACAGCAATTGGGTAACTAGTTGGTTATTACTCATTCCCCAAGAGCCACACATATTGCATTGCAAGGAAGCTAATCTTAGAAATACTTGTTAACTTCGATGATAATTACTAAGTAATTGGCTAGAATGTGCCATTGTGAATTGATCCAGAATATGCCAGGTAATTATCTGGTCTTATGTTCCCTGTAAAATAAATCTAGGGTCCAAAAATGGTTCCAGTTGGTTGGCTATCATCCAGTCATCAACCTCTGCCAGCCAATCGTGCGAATGCAAGTGATTAATCAAATTACTCAAATATTTGGTTTCAAACTGAATGTGCAGATAAGAAACCTAGAGAGCCAACAAGTGGACGGTGCTGAACAGAAAGAGGGATGCACAGAGGCCCTCCCGAAGATAAATATATAACAACACAATAATATGGAATCAATGCCACTTCTCTGGGGCTCATCTGGCATCCTCACACAAAATACCAAAACACTTCAGAGACCAATTACACGTCCCAAAGCTGCAGAGTCTTTATCGTGGTGCCAGGAAAAGGCTGGGCTATTTGTGAAATCTGTAGGCAGTTATGGCGCTTGGGGAGGGGGGCTCAGAATTTTGTACATAATAGAAGAGGGCCGCAAATGCAGCTGGCTTGCAGGAAGAGCAACACATTTTCATAATGACCACTCGTTTTGCAAGGATGGCTGCTGAGTTTGTCTATTTCCAACTTGCTAGCCTTTGAGGAGGGGGTGAGGGAGCCATGGGGATTAGGCTCCATAGATAATGCGGAACCAGGAGGCAGGAGGGTGGTGAGGAGCTGACCAGAGAGAAAGACGGGATAAGAGCTTAAGATGGGAGCAATAGAGAGAAGGCCAGGGGTGGGGAAAAGACCACCCTTCAACCAGACTTGTGTATCCCAAGTAATAGGCTATTGACTGCTGCTAAAAGATGAGGATATATACTGGGTAAGAAAGGGAAGGAAAGGGAGCTAAGGGTCTCTCTGTAGTAGATTGCAAAAATAGCCACAGATTGTCCCCAACCTGCAGCCACATCCTTGCAGCGGGACACTGCAGATCTTCCCATTCAGAAGTAGAGGCTGTGTCTCCATGCCTAGAATCTAGGGGAGAATAGGAGTTTCTTTGGCCAACAGATGTAGGTCTTGACCTCTCGCTGCACTTGGAAACCTGAGACCGCCATGAGAATGAGCCTGAGCTAGGCTGTTGGGGATATCCCCTGACAGTCTGCCAACCAGCAGACACACAAAGGAGGGCATCTAAGACTGACTATTCCCTTGTTGACCCAGAGCTGACCACAGCCAACTACAAGAGCCCAGCTATTCAGTCTGGCTAAGCCCAGAACTGTCCATAGGATACAGAGAAACCACCAAGTTGTGGCGTAGTTACTCAGCAAAAGCTTACACTCAAAACAGCTCAGCCCCTGAAGATTCCTGGGCTGATTTCTTCAGAGCCACTTCTCTGCCTTGTGCAGCATTGAGAACCACCATTTTTATCCTGATTTAAGGAGGCTTGGAGGCCCATCCCTAGATCCCCAATTGTTCACCAGCGCTTATCATTCAAAGCACGAGTCACTCCGGTCAACCCACCATCCGCATTATCTACGGATACAGAATATAATGCACCTTCTAACAATCACCAAGTTCTTACAAGTGGACTCAAGGAGGTTTTGTCTCACAAGGGAGGAGATCAAAGACACACCAGCTCTTCTCTGAGCCCACAGCATCTGCTCTGGGCCTGCTAAGATGCAAGACTTGTGCATTTGGGGTCTCACTGCTTGAGTTGAGTAGAGGAAGGAGAGAGCTCCTAACGGGCCCTTGGCATCACAGATCATACTAAGAATGCCACTGCAGAGGCCAGTCCTAATGTTACAGGGGAGCCAGTGCCAGAGTTTGAAAACAAACCAAAGGATTGTTTCACAACTGTTTCATCAAAACCAAAGCTATTTTTCCCCCAGTGCCTTAAGCCTCTGGGAGAGGCCAGAGAGCAAATCTGAGAAAGTTCAAGAAACATTTTCACAATGTTAGTTCTCTATGAACTATCCCTTTTGTGTACCCAAAGACCACAGATCCTGGATATTCCAAACTACAATGGTAAAGACTGCAAATGTGCTCTGCAACTTTCATGAAAACCAGAATAATAGTTACCAGAATCTTGGCTCATGCTTGTCATCCCAGCACTTTGAGAGGCAAAGGCGGGCAGATCACCTGAGGTCAGGAGTTCAAGACCAGCCTGACCAACATGGCAAAACCCTGTCTCTACTAAAAATACTAAATTAGCCGGGCATGATGGTGCATGCCTGTAATCTCGGCTACTCAGGAGGCTGAAGCAGGAGAATCGCTTGAACACGGGAGGTGGAGGTTGCAGTGAGCCGAGATCGGGCCATTGCACTCCAGCCTGGGCAAGAAGAGTGAAACTCCATCTCAAAAAGAAAAAAATCTTAATCAGGGGTCTGCAGACTATGGCCCATGGGCCAAATACAGCCCACTCCCTGGGTTTGTAAATGAACTTTTATTGGAACACAGCTCTGCAATTTCATTTGCAGATTGTCTATAGCTGCTTTCAGACTACAGTGGCTGAGCAGAGTAGCTGCTACAGAAACTGTACAACCCACAAAGCTGAAAATATTTACTATTGGGCCCCTTACAGAAAAAGCTGGCTGACTCCTGATTTAGTCGAATATACTCATTTCACATATGGAGAAAGTGACTCTTTGAGAAGCTGTTACACAAATACTTGGAATACAGGGGGAGCAAGACCCGATATTTCTGATTCTCCATTTAGTACTCTTTGGTTTTGATAAAGAGTTTTAGCATTAAAAGTATTTTCTGGGTTTAGGCGTGGTAGCTTACGGGCCTGTAATTCCGGCACTTGGGAGGCCAAGGCAGGAGGATTGCTTGAGGCCGGAAGTTTGAGACCATCCTGGGCAACATAGCGAGACCTCATCTCTACCAAAAAATTAAAAAATGAGCCAGGTGTGATGGCACACACATGTAGTGCCAGCTACTTGGGAGGCTGAAGCGAAAGGATCTCTGGAGTCCAGGAGTTCAAGGCTGCAGTGAGCTATGATCATACCACTGCATTTAAGCCTGGGCAACAGAGGGAGACCCTGTCTCTAAAAAAACAAATAAATAAATTAAGTATTTTCTGGAATCTTAAGTCTTAAACCATGTAAGTAAACTGTACATGGTAGAACTGGAGATGGTCTATTAACCAGAGCGGTCAAGTAAGCAGAAAACCATTTCTCAACCATGCCAGAAGCAGAATTTTGCCAATCCCTGGGTGGGAGCCCAGGTGGAACTGACCTGGTGATGATGGCTAGGTGAGGCGGGCTCATGCAGGCGCCCATGAAAAGCACCACGTTCTCGTGCCGCGTTTGCCTGTAGGCCATCACCTCCCGCTTGAAGGCCTTGAGCTGGTCCTCGTTGTCCCTCTCAATGTCAATCAGCCGGATGGCCACCTCGCCGTGCCAGCGGCCGTGGTACACTTGCCCAAAGCGACCCTTTCCAATGAGTTCACCGATCTCCAGCTGCTCAAAGGGGATGTCCCACTCCTGAAGGAAGATGCTGGTCTGGCTGGCCTTGCGTGGGAAGCTCCGGGCCGAGAGGAGGGACAGATTCATTTCCTCGAAGTCATCCTCTGACTCCTCGGCCTCATCGTGGACCTCTTCATTCTGTGGCCGGAGTGGGAGAGAGGTCAGAATTGGGTTTGCCACGGCCCCAGCCTCCCTCATGGTCCTGCTGGGTCCCGTGTGCACGCGTAGGTCTGGACACATCTCTACATGCATCTGGAGCTGGTGCAGACACACGTCCCTCTGTTTCCCCAGGTCTAGAATCTGGTCTAGAATCATACTACAGTGAAGGTGCTGAAAGGGAGATCATGATCATCCACCTCTCTTGTGCTAAATGGGGGGATACTGAGGCTCAGAGAGAAGTGTTATGGGGATCACCCATTCCAGTTTGCTGGAATCTTCGTGGTTTTAGCACCGAAAGTCCCATGTGTTGCCCTGGGAAGTGACTCACTCCAGGTCATGCAGCCAGGCAGAGGAGAGACTAAGATCCAGGTCTCTGGACTTGAATATTCGATGCCCTTCCTATTCTTCCATAGTCTTTTGGTTTGGCTGTTTATGTGCATGTGATAAAGGTGACAGGCTAGACAGGCTAAAACAACGGGTACACCGTGCATCTGCAGGTCACACGTGACAACTGCCAACATGGAGTATCTTTTGCTTCCCCCAGGGAATTTGGAATTGATGATTCAAAAATTGGGAGAGGTCAGAGCTACAAGCTAGAAGTTTGAGGCTCCTACAGCAGCTGGGAAGGTAGGAGACATGAGAGTGAGGGGTTGACAGAATGGGCTTAACAATCAGACAAAGTGAGCTGAAATCTCGCCTCTGTGTGACCTTGAGCCAGTTGCTTTACTTCCCTGAGGCTGCCTTTCCTCATTGTAAAGTGGGGGTAAGAAAATCTGCCCCAGGAGCAGTGTGAGGTTTTAGATGAAGGCCTGTTAAGTTCTTAGTACAGAACTGACCACCTGTATTAAACACCCAGTGGGAGGCCCGAGAAAATGCAGATTCCTGGGCCCCACCCAGCACTATTGGATCAAAATATCAGCAGGCCAGGACCAGGAATCTGCATTTTTACCATGCACACCCACACGACTCAGGCATACTTCGGCGTGACTACCACTAGAGTTAAATGCTCGAGGTGTAGGGACCTACCTTATCAGCATGATATCTAGGGGTGTTTTGGGGTGAACTGCCTCTTGGATTCTCCTGCAGAATTGTAGGAACAGCAGGGGCCAGGGCCAGCAGGGATTCCCAGAGACCCTGGGACCTGATGAAATAGCCTGAGAAGGTGGCCTCTTGAGTGGGTACAGGTCTTCCTGACCCAGAATACCTGAGCAAGCTGCCCCCCTTGGCACACTCAGGAGAAACAATACAGGAGACATTAGTTTCTCCCAGGATCATATTTCAACAACCAAAACAGTCCCAGAAAAGAACACGATTTTCCTTGGAAGCCCTGACTCGATTCCTTTCAGTACAAGACACAGTGCAGTGGCAGAGCTGAGGGGCCAGGACTCCATGGTTTCCAGCCAGGGCATTTTATGTATTTCTGCAGCTGCTTAGGCAGGTGGGAAGAAGCCCCAGCACATTCCCAACACTTCCAAGCCCGGCATCCCTGAGGCCCCCACCTCCTCCCACATATCCTTTTGAAGGCAGCAGGGCACATCCCCCTTGGTAGTCACCCGGCTGTGAGCTGATCTTTCAACTAAGAATGCAAATCTCTTGACAATTTCCGCACAACTGGCTTTTCCATGATGCATGCCATATAATGGCCCATTAGGCTCAGTGCTAGGAGGGGCCACCGCTTGCTAAATGTCCCAGAGTTAGAATATCCATCGGTCAGGGCCACCACAGCCCCAATCTGACCCCAAGCCCTCTGCGTCATCCAAAACGTCAGTCGGCTTTGCCAAGTTCTGGGCAGCCCCTGGAAAATGTCACTACACTGCTCTCTGATTCTCACCTCCGACGTTGGCTCCACTTCAATTTGAAGTAATGGATTTCCTTCCAAGCTGTAAAGAAAGAAAAAGAAACATGATCCCTAGGTAAAAAGGTAGGTCTGTATATTGAATTTAGCTTTGAATGAAGAATCCCCAGATGGGAAGTCTTCACCACCAAGCCTTTATCTCACATTTCATTTCAACACGTGTGTCTGAAATAATCCATAACCTCGCCACACACACACACACACACACACACGAAACACAGTGTGCCAGGACCTTGTTTTAAGTTGATTTTCTGGGCTGCTCAGGGCTCATTTTTATTTATTGCTTTGGTTTCAACTAATCTAGCAGCTTTCTTATAAACTGGCCTAAACGCCCTGGGTAGACAAGTCCTCAGAGCTCTATATGTTTGGAATTTGTTGGAAGGATCTCAGTGTTCTTGTTTGTCTGTTCATTCATGCATTCATGCGACTATTGAATAGATGTGTGTGCCAGGAACAGTGTTAGGCCCTTGGAGGGATATAGAATTGAAACTGGCATGGCTTCTGACCTTAAGGAATATTGTGTTCCTACTGAAGGAACTAAAGCCAGTATGTAGATACTATGCAGAGAGGCTAAAAGTAACAAGGCCAAAAGTTAGGTATGAATTGGATAAATGGAGTGTGGTGGGAATTCGAAGACGAGAGAATTACTGGGTGTATTTGAAAGTTCCCAATGTTTGAGGTAGGCCTTGCCAATCACATGGAATGAGGATGTGTGGAATGAAAATAAAAAGACCATATTGAACTGGAAGACACAAGTGTGTGTGTGTGTGTGTGTGTGTGTGTGTGAGAGAGAGAGAGAGAGAGAGAGAGATGCATTCACAAGCTCATGAGCCGCAGTTCTGTTCTTAGGAAGCAAACATTTTGGGTATAGATGCTGGCAGGGCGTCACAATGTGTTTGTGTGAGCACTGCATAGGTATTATGGGATGTGCTTTGTGCAGGGCTGTCTTGTGTGCATGTGAGTTGGGTGTACACACAGGATGTTGAGGAGGATGCTGTATGCTGATGGTATAATTGGGTGTGCATTAGAGGTGTGAGCGGACTGTCAAGTGCATGTGACATTTGACATGTCATGGATGTTGGGCACAGTGTGCATTAGAGGTATGTTGCGGGGTTTAGACTTGAGGATGTGCACGTGTTTTTGAAGTGCAGCAGGGAGACAGAATGGGGCTGTTGAAGGCATGGAAGAGCTGAGACAGGTGAGAAAAAAGAGTCACAATGAATACCCCACCCCTCCTTTCCTATTTCCCCAGTGGATCCTCCCTTCCCCCTACTCATTTGGGGAACCTCCCGTATCCTGACCCTCAGATCGCAGGAAGTGGCTGGCTCCACAGAGTCAATCCACTTGCTGGAGGGGGTCCTGGTGAGAGAGAGTCTGAAAGACCACAAGAACTAAAAGAAGGAGAAAGAAAGGTCAATCCCAAAGTGGCATTTGCCATGGTATTAACCAATTATTCATAGCACAGCCTGGGAAAGTGGAATGAACCTGCACGATGACAGCTGACATGCTGGGAACTTGATGCCCTGGGGGGACTTGGCTGGGACAATGCAGCTGGAGTCCCTCCTCATGCCCCAAACCAAACCAGGCCACCCTCCTCTCTGCATCAAGGCGTGATTCCAGCAGCCAGGGCTATTCAATTATTTCCCTCTGCAAAGAGTTGCCATCACTCCACGCACATTTAAGCAGATCGCAAGCAGCTATTGACTGTTTTTCACTGGTACTTCTGGACTGTCAGTTAATAACCTGGAGTTCATCTTGCACAAATTGTAGAATTGGTTTATGTGAAGCAGAGAAATGATCCGAAGCTAGATGTCAGCACCATATCCCCCGGCAAGTTGCTACTCCTTTGATTTCAGAGATGTACCATGTAAGACTTTAAAAAGTCCTTAAGACCAGTCAGAAAAGATGAAGCAGTTAGGGGACCCAGAAGAAAAACTAAGTAGGCAAAAGGTGAGTTGGCAAACTGATCAAATCCTAGCAAGCCCCAGGCTTCCATCACAACCAAAGAAGTTAAGGAGGTGACTTTGTGGTTATTACTTTTTTTTTCTTTAGACAGAGTCTCCCTCTGTTGCCCAGCTGGAGTGCAGTGGTACGATCCCACCTCACTGAACCTCCACCTCCTGGGTTCAAGCGATTCTCCTGCCTCAGTCTCCCGAGTAGCCGAGTAGCTGGGATTACAGTTGTGTGCCACCACTCCTGGCTAATGTTTATATTTTTAGTAGAGACAGGGTTTCACCAGGTTGGCCAGGATGGTCTCCAACTCCTGACTTCAGGTGATCCTCCCACCTCAGCCTCCCAAAGTGCTGGGATTACAGGCGTGAGCCATAGCGCCTGGCCAAGCTGACCTCACTTCTGCTGCACAAGCAATAAACCACCTGGAAAGAGGGTCTGTTTCCAAAGGATGCTATGCACAAAGATGTCCATTGCAGCATTATTTACAACAGTGAAATATGGGAAGCAATGTAAAATCCAGCAATAGGAAAATGGTTAATAAAATTATTCTACATCATATGTCATTTTACAGCCATTAGAAACAATGTCAGACAGGTGTGACTCATGCCTGTAATCCCAGCACTTTGGGAGGTTGAGGTGGAAGGATCGCTAGAACCTAGGAGTTTGAGACCCGCCTAGGCAACATGGCAAATCCCTGTCTCTACAAAAATAAAAAAATAAAAAATTTGTTGGGTGTGGTGGCACACACCTGTAATCCCAGCTACTCGGGAGGCTGAGCTGGGAGGATCACTTGAGCCCAGAAGGCTGAGGCTGCAGTGAGCTGTGATCGTGCCACTGCATTGCAGCCCTGGGTGACAGAGTGAGACTCTGTCTCAAAAAATAAACAAACAAAAACCAAGAACCAACAACGTCTATAGAGAGGCTAAAATAATATTCATAAAATGTGATGTTCAGCATAAAGATAACAAAGCAGGATGGTAACTGATTGCATATCTTGTGGGTCATAACTATGTAAAATATAAATGGAAAGAACACACATAGAAGTTCTAACAGTGGTGAGATCATGAGCGATTATTTTGCCTTTCCCTTTTTAATGAATAGTCCAAATTTTCCAAAATTAGCTTATATTAGTTTTACAATAATATGAACCAGAGGTTAGCAAATTTCTTTCTGCAAAGGGTCATAGAGTAAATATTTTTGGCTTTGGAAGCCCTACAGTTTCTATTACAACTACTTAACTCTGCTGTTACACTGAGAAAGCAACCCTGCACAATACATTGTAAACAAATAGGCATGCTGTGTTCCAATAAAACTTTATATAAAAACAAGCAGGAGGTTGGATGTGTCCCACGGGCTACAGTTTGCTGATTCCTGGTATAAACCTAAATGAGACTTTCAAAAGTTATTCCATGTTCAGTGACATGGAATAATTGCCCTTTCATTAAGCCCCAACTATCGCCTGGGGAAAGTTGTCTTCCTAATCATACGGGTATTATGGGTCCTTAGGAAACGGTCCAGCCCCTGGAAAATGCATTTGACAGGCAGGGGCAGAGACACAAGGCATAGCTGCTCGTGAGGAACAGCATTGCCTCTCTCTGCCTGAGCTCTTACGTTCTTTCTCTTTGCCTAAGTTATTCCCTGTGTCTCTCTGTACCCCCTGTACATCTCCCTCTGCCCCCAACTCCATCAGTTCCAGGAAGAGGAGGAAAGAAGATAGGGAACCGGAGTGGATTGTAGGGTCAGGGCTGGGAATCTCGGAGAAGGGGGAAGATGTCTCTGTCCCACTTACATTGGATTCGAGGTCACCGGATGCAGGATGACCTGGGGCGCCCGGGTCGGCGTCTCCGGCACCGGCACCACATCTGAAAACCAGAGATTGGACATTCAGAAAACAAATGTGAAGTCCACAACCCTCACAAAGGCCTGATTCCTGGGTGACATGGTAGCTAATTTTTCACCAGATCTTGGATCTCTTCCCTTGGCCAATCTCCTTTCTCCTTTCCTGGACCACCTGGACTCTACCTGCTCAGCTGGACCAGGGTTCTGGATGACATCCTCCACAAAATTCCTCATTGTTGAGTAGGGGGCTGCCAGAACCCTCAAGCATCCGGCCTGAAGCATTGACTGATCATCTCTGAATCTTCCTTTCTCCTGGGTTCCCTCTGGTATGATAAGGCCCCTTGGTTTCACATCTTCTCAGTACCCAGCTCAGGACCCTATGACCATCTCTTCCCTGCCACATGGCTCTAGACCCCTCCTCACCCTTGCCCATTGTTCCACGGCACTCCACCCTCTCAGGCCTTTCCATGGCGCCTTGGGACCTCCTTGGGTCCCACTGTGCCCTTAGGACTTCCCACTCTTTCTTTTCCACTTCCATGTTCAGCTATTATCCTGGAGTGTGATGGTTCCACTACCACCCTCTTTGATCTTAGGCACCCCCACAACATCTGCCTCCATTCATCCCAGCAACTCCTGCAACGCAGCAGGGCTTGTTCAGAAGGGGCTGCTTCCAGCTCACATGAAACTCACCTGGGAAGATGAACTGCTGCTTGTATTTGTAGTAGTGGGATGCTTGCAAAAGAAAGAAAACATCAGAGTGAGTGTCCCCAAGGAGATGTCCCTTCACGGACCAAATTGAGCTCTTATGGCCACCACATGGTCATTCTCTGCCCACCTTCAAGAGTTTTCACACTTCTGCAGACAAAGGACTGCAAACATGTGTAAAGAAACCAGAACTCTAAACATCCATGCCAACCCTCCCATCTGATATCTCACACTCCCTAAAATCAGACTGCTCCAACTCAAACAGACGTTCTGACTACAATACCATTTTTGTGAAATGCATAATTACACACACACACACAGAAGAAGCCTGCAAAGCCATAATCCAAAATATTAATTTTTCCCCCTTTTGGCAGAATGATTACAGTGGCTTAAAAAATCCTTTATGCTTTTTCTGTACTTTCCTAATTTTCTGCAATGAGCATCGTACCAGTTTTCTCTTTTTTTGTGGATGTAACAAATTACTACAAACTTAGTAAAACAACACAAATGTATCCTCCTACAGTTCCGGAGGACAAAAGTCTGAAATAAGTCTTACAGGGCTGAAATCAAGCTTAGTTCCTTCTGAGGGCTCCAGGAAAATCTATTCCTTGTCTTTTCCAGTTGTTTGAGGCTGCCTGCATTTGTTGGCTCATGGCTCCATCACTCCAACCTCTGCTTCTGTTGTGCCATCTCCTTCTTCTGCCTTTGACCTTCTTGCTTCCCTCTGATAAGGACCTTTGTGATTATATTTAAGGACTTCCCAGATAAGCTAAGATAATCGTCTCATCTCAAGATCCATAACTTAATTACACCTGCAAAGTTCCTACTGTCCTTTAAAGCAGCATCTTCCCAGATTCTGAGATCAAGACATGGATATCTTTTGGGAATTATTCTACCTACCACAAGTATGCATTAACTTCTGTATTTAGGAAAAAGTTACATAAAATAAATTTTCTGGACTTCACTGCTGGTTCCCTGACAATTCCTTTTACTTCTAATCTACTCGCCAGAGGCCAGGAGTCTTGGACACTTAAAGGTTTCTAACATGCTAATACTCCATTGGGGAACAGTGCCTGGAATAGGGGGTCAAGGGGTGTTGGGGGCAGGGGACACAGAGCTTTGTGTCCTCAAGTAAATGAAGAGGGCAGGGATATAGTCAGATGAGTCTGTATTGGTGAATCCACTTCCAGAAACAATTCGATGACATTCAGGGACAAGCCACCATTGGAATTGTTTTATCAAATATTAGCACAGTAGCTCAGAGCCTAGAGTCTGGAAGCTGATCCTGAATGGTCAAATATTTGCTCTGCCTTTGGCTATTTGTAGAGACTCCAAGTCTCACTGCCCATATGTGTAAAATGAGGATAATAACAGTCCCTTCCTCAAAGGGCAAGGACCATCACTACAAGATAAAAGTGTATTCAAGGTACCGAATTAGTATTAGCTTTGAGATAAATAAACACATTTCTAAGCTCTCTTAACTAATAGACAAGAATGATTTATAGCTAAGAGATAATCACATAGTTCCAAGTGCTAACTAAATGTTTTGCCTTGGGGAAGCAGACGGAACACTCTCCCTGAGGTTGAAATTTACTGATAGATTGCTTCAGGATAGGGAGTAAATCCTACTATCTCAGGACCTCAAACTCCTGGTTCTGTGCCTTGCACCAGTCAGCGTGCAACATACATTTGTTGAATTAATCAACTCTCTTTATCATAGATGAAACAGCAAAAACCTTGGGCTTAGTCCAATTCCAGATTGTATCAAATAGTTGGAGTCCAGATGGATGCATTTTTGATTCTGGAAAATGAGATGTCCAGGGCAAGAAGCAACTTATTCGAGGTCACAGAGCAAAGCTTTAAAAGAAAAGCACCCTCCATGATTTCAGGGACCGTTTTACTGTTAGATAACATGAGTTTTTCATTGCATGCAACTATTTTATTAGTCAACAAGGGGCTAAAATTAAAACAGGAAAACTACCCGAGGCTCTTAAGAGGCTTGGCTGATCTTTTCCCTCCCCAGCTCTGACAGTGATGGGGGATTCAGTGTCTGTAGAAAACGTTCGCTGACAGCTATGTTCTTGTTGGGCAATGGAGAGCAGGAGCAGCTTCAGAAAGTCCGAGAAGGGACAGGTGTCAGGCAACGGGACACCAGCAAAAGCCTCCACACCCGAAGCCAACGCCCTCCTTGACTCCTCCCCATGTGCCATGGAACAACTCGTTCCTGGTGACTGAAAGGGAAACACGTGGCCAGAAGAGGAGGAAAGACATTGTTGGGAGACCTGTTCTTCCTGCTGATGACAGACACCATCAAGAAGTGGCTCTAAAGAACAGCTGGTGACCTTGAGTGGGCTGCTCAGGAGAGCCCAGTGGCTCCTGGCTTTCTGGCATCCAAGATGACTCAGGACCTGGGAGGTTGCAGATGAAGTCAAAGAGACAAGCAGGCCACTTTAAAGGAGCCTCCCCTCCAGAGCCCCCATGCCTACCCTGAAGCCTCCCAAGACAGCAGCCAGAGTGGTCTTCTAGAAGGAAGGAAGAAAGGTCAAGTTGTTCTCTGCCTAAACCTTTCAACTGCATCCCATGGAGTCTCACATAAAATCTAAAATAGGCCGGGCGCGGTGGCTCAAGCCTGTAATCCCAGCACTTTGGGAGGCCGAGACGGGTGGATCACGAGTTCAGGAGATCGAGACCATCCTGGCTAACACGGTGAAACCCCATCTCTACTAAAAAATACAAAAAACTAGCCGGGCGAGGTGGCGGGTGCCTGTAGTCCCAGCTACTCAGGAGGCTGAGACAGGAGAATGGCCCGAACCCGGGAGGCGGAGCTTGCAGTGAGCCGAGATCCGGCCACTACACTCCAGCCTGGGCGACAGAGTGAGACTCCGTCTCAAAAAAAAAAAAAAAAAAAAAAAAAAAAAATCTAAAATACTGCTAGGCCCAGACCCTGCAGCCCTGAGTCTCTCTGGAGGCCACTTTCCCTTGTTTATGGCACTTGGGCCCCTTCTTGTGACTGGGCCTTTGCCTTACTTCCCCCACCTGCAGAACTCAGCCATCCAGTGACCCTCCAACCTAAATCTGTTCTCTTGCATTTGCTCAAGGACTCTTGCAAAGACTCTTGGCCATCACAGCCTTCATCACAATCTATAATCCTGTTTTCATGCATATGTTTATTTGGTTAACACCTTTCTTTCTCACTAAGCTATACTTTTCATGAGAACTGGAGCTGTTGTAGGCAGAATAATGCCTGCCCCTACCCCCACAGCATGTTCAGGTCCTAATCTCTGGAAATTGTGAATCCATTTCATTACATGGCACACGGGACTCTTTGGATGAGATTACTTAAGGATCTTGAGGTGGGGAGATTATCCTAGATCATTCGGGTGGGCTCGACGTCATCACAAGGGTCCTCAGAAGAGGGAGGCAGGGTCAGAGAAGGAGATGTGATCACAGAAGCAGAGGCCAGAATGAGGAGGGGCCACAAGCACAGTAATGTGGGCAGCCCCTAGATGCTGGGAAAAGGCAAGGAGATGGATTCTCCCTGAGACCTTCCAGAATAAACCAACCCTGTTGACATCTTGGTTTTTAACCCAGTGAAGCCAGTTTTGGACATCTGGCCTCTAGAACCATAAGATAATAAATCTGTGTGCTTTTAAGCCACTAAGTATGTGGTCATTTGTTACAGCAACAATAGGAAGTGAATACAGGGGCTACATATGGTTTGTTCACTGCTCCAAACCTAGTGCCTAGTACAGTAGCTGGTACAGAGTAGATGCTTCATAAATACTGTTAACAAAATGAATGGATGAACACAGTCTGAGGGTCAAGAAGAAAATTTGAAGAGAAAAAACTGCAGCCCTGGGCAGTGCATGAAATTCAGGTCATTCATTCATTCAACAAACACTTAATGAGTGCCTTCAGTCACAGGCAACGTGTCGGGCTTTGAGTGTGCAGTGGTGAATGAAGACACATTGCCTAGTCTCATGCAGCTGGCATTCTGATGGAGGAGACAGACACTTAACAAATGAGTACGTAAACCAGATCATGGCACAGAGTGATGAGCGTAAAAGAGAGGCTTGGGAGAGATTGATGGAAAGGGGAAGGGAGGAAACACTCCCACGAGTCCAAGTGGCCCAAGTGAGGTCTCAGAAATCCTGCAAACTCCACCAAAGGCAGATTCCACCTCCTTTCTTCTCCCTTTGAGCCATTAGAATTTGCCATTTCCTGGAGTTGGGGGTATGTGTGTCTCTGTGTGTGTGTTTCAAGATGGCTCTAGGTGGCTCCAAAGAAAAAAGGTATTTGAGCACTCCAGCCTCAGAAACCCATAAGACAATCATTTCCAAAGCCTCTTCATCTATCTTGCCATGGTGGTCGCCACCACAGCTCTGAATTGTTAGCCCCATGTTACCGATGAGAAACAGACCTAAACAGAGGCAGTGCCATGCTCAAAGCCACACAGCTAGGAAGGAGCAAAGCTGGGATCCAACCCCAGGTCTGTCTGTCCATGTAGCACTCTTGACATCACCTTATACTGGGCCATGTCCAACATGGTCCCAGGACTCAGGGAAAGGTGGTTAACAGGAGGTCCACCCAGCTGGCAGTGCACAGTAACAAGTACCACCGAGGCTGCACACGCCACGCTTGGGTTCTAACAGCCTTTTCACCACATGTCCTGAGGTTAACAGACGAGTTAAATGGCTGGTCCACCCCCCACCCCCTTTTAGACAAGAATGTTCTAGATGAATCAGTGCTGGGGACATTGTTATGCCTAAGCTTTAGCTTAAATAGCCTTCAGAAAACTCAACATCTGGCAGGGACCCACCGGCTAAGTTCCATTTTTCATTAACAGAAGCTCCCAGTCAAGAGTGGGACAGCCAGCCAGATCTTTGTACAAACAGGACAGGTACTCATGACCCTGGGGCTGTTTTGCTAAAACTGCCTAAGACACAGGGTATGTCCAACTGTACTTCCAAAGGTTCTATTTTGTTTTCCATTTCAGCACTGAATTTTATTATTCGATTCTAAAATGGATGCACACTCATATACGTCGTAGAAGTAAGTGCATGAGATAAAGTCCCTCTCCTCAATGGCTGCCATGAAGTTCTTCCAGACTTTACTGTGCACATGCGAACACATATACACACACTGGTACACAGACATACATGTATGTAAATATTTTACAATAAACAGAATATTATACTGATGACTTTGCAAATCACTTACTTTCTACTTGAGAAACATTACGGATATCTTTCCATGTCAGGAAATCTACATAGAGTACTATATTCCTTTGAAAGTTTGCAGAATATTTGGTTATATGGATATATGTGTGTATTCAACCATTCACTGCCCACTCTTGATGGGCATTTGGGTTAATTTCAGTTTTCACTGTTACAATGAAGTCCTTACACACAGATCTCTGCACCCTAGTGCAAGTGTTTCTGTATATACATTCCTAGAAGTGATATACTGGTCAAAGAAATGCACATTTAAAACTTTAACAGGGCTGGGTATGGTGGCTCACACCTGTAATCTCAGCACTTTGGGAGGCCAAGGCGGGTGGATCACCTGAGGTCAGGAGTTCGAGGCGAGCCTTACCAATATGGTGAAACCCCGCTTCTACTAAAAACACAAATATTAGCCAGGCGTGGTGGTGTGCACCTTTAGTTCCAGCTACTCAGGAGACTGAGACAGGAGAATTGCTCGAACCCGGGAGGTGGAGGTTGCAGTGAACTGAGATCGCACCACTGCACTCCAGCCTGGGTGACAGAGCGAGACTCCATCTCAAAACAACAACAACAAAACAAACTTTAACAGAAAATATCAAATTACCTTCCCCAAATGTTTACTTCAGTTCATACTCCTATGGCAAGATACATTGGGATTTCATCTTTTATTCTACAATTCTGTCTAGGCCCCCACATTAATTAACAGTGATAATGAGAAATGCAAATAAAGGTAGCCACTGTACTTTATTATTATTGTGTTTAACAATAATCCAAGGAGCCCAGATTTGTTGAGGTCTTCAATGAAACTGTCACTCTGCCAAGCTTTGTCCATGTATTATGACATTTCTTTCTAAAACAATTATCTAAGGTGGGTACTATTACAATCTCCATTTTACAGATGAGAGCACTGAGGCCCAGAGAGGCAAGTTATTTGCCCAACATCACACAGACATTAAGTGGTAAAGCTGAGATTTGAACTTAAGTAGCTTGGCTGCAGAGCCCACACTCTAACTGCCATGCTGAAGTGCTTTTACCCAAAGGACCCCTTAGCTCAGCCCCCAAAGAGGGCCAGGACCTTGTCATGACCTGCCATGGAGTGGGGGGGGGGGCGGGGAATGAGGTGGCATGCTAGAACAACACATTTTCAGGCACCCCTCCTTGAAGACTCTGGCTGAGGGAAGGAAGGAGCTAAGGGACACCCTGATTACTCCAGGTTAGGCAGGTCTCTTGTCTGGAGACGCCAGCAGATTCTTTAAGGGATGAGAAGAGTTGTGGTGCTTTTGTGCACAGTTCTCCCATAAAACGGGCCCTTCCCTTTCCCTTGGTCCATAAACAAGTGCCAAACAATTTGAGAGAAAATACTCCTGAAGTCAGTGTCTCCAGGGAGTGAAGTGGCTACAGGAAAGCATCGGGCCCACTTCCCCTAAGAGTGGGTGGTCATGGGAAGTCTAAGGGTCTTTTCTTTTCCCTTTCATCTCTTTCTGAAGAAGTAAAAATGAACAACCCTGGAGATGGCGGTGGGGGCCCTTCTGTCCGTGGAAATGCCGGGCAATGAACCAGCGGCACTTACTAAGAGGATTCAGCTGGTGACTCACACGGCAGTCCCTGGTGGGTGCCAGGTGAGTGGCCCCCACACAAGGCGGATATGACGCTGTTAAATTCAGACTTGAACTTAACAAAAAACCCAAAGTTCCAAGAATTCAAAATATGTGCCATCTCTGTGGACGTAGCCCAAATCAAAACAGTGTGGGCAGGTGCTGTGACTGGCTTGTCCTCAGATGGATGGTTGCATGCGGGTGCTGCCCAGGTGTGGGGCGGGGCCTCCATTTGCCTCCTGGCCATTCACTCATGCCTGGTTAAGCTTAGAGGTGTGAGCTGCGACCAAGGACCTAGGATTTTTTTTCATAGTGTGAGGCTTGTTGACTCAGGAGGAAATCAGGAGCTAGACCAGAGTAACCAAGGGAACTTTCAGTGATGATGGAAATGCTCTATACCTGAGCCATTCAGTATGGCAGCCACCAGCCACATGTGGCTACTGGGCCCTTGCAATGTGGCTAGTATAACCAATAAGCTAATTTTTAAATTATATTTAATTCATTTAAAGGTAAATAGCCACACACGGCTAGCGGATACCATATTGAACAACACAGATGTAGACTCTGGTTCCAACTGGCCATGCCAGTCCCACCAGCCTTCTTCTTGAGGCCAGCTGCAGTGCCACAAATACGGCTGAGTTGGAAGCATTCTTAGGGCCCTAGCACAGGAACTGGGCTAGGCTGGACCCTGGAATAGATGGGGAGATTCTTAGGTCTGGTCTACCTGAAGGAAGAAAAATATCCCATTCTTAGGTCTAATGACAAAGAAGGTCAAGAAGCCACAGTGTCCCATGAGTGGCTTCTCTACTATCATCTCATAGCCCAGTGCATACTCCCTGGTCAACAGCCTAGGTGCCTTGTAATTCCTGAGCTAGAGGAACCTTCCAGATCATCTTGTCCAACTACATCTTTTCAGACGTGAGACACAGCAAGAATGTGATAGACCTGGATCTTGACTCCAGGAGACCAGACTGTTCATTGACAGCCCTGTCCTCACATCTGGGTTAAGACTCAGTATGCAGCCCTGCTCAGATGTGTGCCCCTAAGATCTCCAGCACAGGATCTAGCTTCCAATTTTAACCAATTTAGCTCATAAGATAACTGTCAGCTCCAGAGTCAATGGTTCCCTTCTGTGACTTAGACTTAGGCGAAGACCCTGGGTTGTAGCTTGCCAAAACACACAGTCTCTAAGAGTTCCTGCACCCCTTTGAGCCTCTGTTTCTTCATCTGTAAAAGGAGCTGATAATGCTTACTTGTGGCTATTCCAAAGATTAAATACGTGATATAGGGTAATTGCTTAGGATACGATAAGGGTCAGTCCTCATACTTCCTTACCCCTCTCTGGTCATCAATCCGTCACCTTCCAGCAGAGACTTGCTGTATCAGGACTCTGGCGTGAACCCACCCCCTCCCTAATCTCTGCCCCTCCAACGCTGCACACCCCATATCTCCCCAAGCATGGAGGTACCTGGCAGGTTGAAGTTCTTCTGCTGCCGTGTGCACTGCGGGGAAGGGTGTAGGGGAGAAGGTGGCGTGGCACTAGGAGGGAGAGGGGGTGCTGGCGAGGAGGGCGTGGAGGACGTCGTGGAGGAGGGGTTGCTGCTGGAGTCTGGCTGGTAAGGGACAGGGATGTGGTCCTGCAGAGAGAAAACAGGGTAGGAGTCAGGGACAGGCAGGGAAGCAGAGACACAGCAGAAAGAGTGGGCTGAGCAGGAGAGGCCCCCACCCCAGCCCCTGCACCAACTCTTGCCCTTTCCTCAGCCACCAGATCCTTCCAAAGTCCCTCCTGCTTCATCAGCCCTGCTGGGCTGCATCCAGCTGTGGAAGGAACAGCCTCTGCAGTCGAATTCCTGTCCACTGCTTGGACCCCAGAGTGAAAGGTGACCGTGTAATGAAAACGACACAGGTGACAGCCACTCACCCTGTGCCTCTTTGATTCTGATAAACCCCATGCAGAGGTGTCCAGAGTACCCCTCCCAAACCAACACCTCTCCTCCCAAGTGTTTATTAAAGAATCAACAGTCTGACAGCTCCAGAGAGAATGTGAGAGGGAGCCTTCAGCATCTTAGCTCGGGTCACAGCTGGAACCAGCACTGCCTCTCTTCATGCCAGACCAGCTCAAAAACAAGGAGAGAGAAAGAATCCATGTGTGCATTTTCGGAATGGCCTGCTGGGGTGGACTTAGGAGCACAGTAGTGGGTTGAACGGCGTCCCACAAAAGACGTCCACCCAGGACCTCTGAATCTGATCTTATTTAAACTAAGGGTCTTTGCAGACATAATTTAAGGTAAGGATCCCGAGATGAGATCATCCCGGATTCGGGTGAGTCCTAGATCCAATGACAAATATCCTAAATCCAATGACAAATATCCGAATCATCCTGGATTCAGGTGAGTCCTAAATCCAATGAGACACATGGAGAGGGAAGTCACATGAAGATGGAGGGAGAGATTGGAGTGATGCAGACACAAGCCAAGGGTTGCTGGAGCCACCAGAGACTGGGAGAGAGGCATGGAACAGATTGTCCTTCAGAGCCTCCAGAAGGCAACCCTGTTGGCATCTTGACATTGAATTTCTGGCCTCTAGAACTGTGTGAGAATAAATTTCTGTTGTTTCAGCCACCCAGTTTATATTCTTTTGTTACAGCAGCACCAGAAAATTAGTATCAGCAGGATCTGGAGTCAGGAAAACCTGGACTCAAAGTCCACAGCCACCTCTTTACTGTGCATCCTGGGCAAAATGCCTAATCTTTCCATTCCTCAGTTTTGTCCTCTGTAAAATGGGAATAATGATAACATCAAGTGCACAGGGCTGCATGAAGATCAAATGATGTGGAAGAATAGGAGGGAGGGAGGCAGGCAGGGAGGAACAGTAGCTGATATAGAGGCATGGGAGGTAAGGAGGCAGGCAGGGAGGAACAGTAGCTGTATGTATTTGCAGGCATGTTCTCCTGGAAAGTGATAGATTGGTGCTGCCTAAAGCTTGAAAAGCATTTCACCTCTTTGGGACTTTTTGCTTTCACCAGATGGCAAGAGATGAACAAAAGCAGCAAACCTCCACATGACATAAAAGGGATTCCTGCCTCTCAAAGCCAGCAGAGCTAAGTGTTCCCAGGGGAGCCTTCATCTGTTCACCCACAGGACCGTGGTCACTTGATCCCTCCATTACTCAGAGGTCCACTACTCACGTGGACCAGGTACTCAAAGATGCTTTAGTGTGGTCAACAGGTATGCTTATCTGCCAACTCCAAGAGTAGGTGTGGTGAACACCCAATAGCAAAGGAGGTCAAGGGCAGAAGGGGAAATGGACATTCTCTGTCTACTCAGGCTTACTGGGTGTCCAGCCAGGTTGTATATTTCACCCTCCCAAAGCATACTCTACTGCCACTAGATCCACACTGCTTCTGGGTCAGTGAGTCTCTCTTTATCCCATTTTTGTTTGTTTGTTTGTTTTTTTTAGATGTGGTCTCATTCTGTGGCCTGGGCTGGAGGGTAATGGCATGATCACGGCTCACTGTAGCCTCAGCCTCCTGGGTTCAAGCGATCCTCTCATCTCAGCTTCCTGAGTAGCTGGGACCATAAACATGAGCCACCACGCCCAGCTTTAAAACACTGTTTTTTTGTAGACACAGGGTCCCACTATGGTGCCTAGGCTGGTTTCAAACTCTTGGGCTCATGCGATCTGACCCTCCCACCTCGGCCTCCCAAAGTGCTGGGATTACAGGTGTGGGTCAATGCGCTCGAACTCCTTATCCTTAACATGGGCTAAGAACATCCACCTTGTAGGTCTGTTGTGAAGTTTAAACGAGTTATGGATGTACCTACCTCCTTTGTATTGAGTAGAGGTGCTTTATCATCAATAAATGGTAGCCATTATGTTAATGATAGTATGTTTCTATAATTAAACTTTTTATTTTGAGATCATTGTGGATTCACATGTAGTTGTAAGAAGAGAGAGATCTTATGTTTCCTTTGCTCAGTTTTCTCCACTGATAACATCTTATGAAACTATAGTACAATATCACAGCCCAGATACTGAACTGATACAGTCAAGATACAGAACAGATCCATCAAAACCAAGATCCCTCATGTTGCCCATTTATAGCCATACCCATTTCCTGCTCTCTCCTCACCATCCTCTCCCCATATTTAACCCCTGGCACCTCTAATCTATTCTCCACATCTGTGGAGAATAATGTTATACTAAATAGTGTTATTTAGTATAATAAACACTAGTTGTATGTGGGTTTTTTTTTTTTTTTTTTTTTTGAGATAGAGCCTTGCTACATTACCCAGGCTGGTCTCAAACTCCCGGGCTCAAGCAATCCCACTGCCTCAACCTCAATCCCAAGTAGCTGGGATTAGAGTTGTACACCCTGGTGCCCAGCTCTACTCTCAGTTTCTATAATTTTATAATTTCACTGTTTTATAAATTGAATCATACAGTATGTAACCTTTTCAGACTGCATTTTTTCACTCAGAATACTTATAAATTCATCCAAGTTGTTGCATGTATTAATAGTTTCTTCCTTTCAATTGCTGAGTTTCTTCCTTTTGATTGCTGAGTAGTACTCTATGATATGGATATATCAGAGTTTGTGTAACCATTTACCCACTGAAGGACATGTAAGTTGTTTTCTATTTTTCGCTATTGTGGATAAAGCTGCTATAAACATTTCTTTACAGGATTTATGTTAACATATGTTTTTATTTCTCTGGAATAAATGCTCAGAAGTGTAGTTTCTGGATAATATAGTAATAACATGTTTAGTTTTAAAAGGAAATGCAAAAACTGTTCTCTAGAGTGGCTGCACCATTTACACCAGCAATGTAGGAATGACTGATATTTCTCTGCATCTTAGCCAGTGTTTGGTGTTATCACTATTTGTTATTTTAGCCTTTCTAATTGGAGTGTAGTGATACCTCATTGTGCTTTGATTTGCATTTCCTAATGGCTAATAATATTGAACTTCTTTTCATGTGCTTACTTGCCATCTGTATATCCACTTTGGTCTTGATGACTGTATCTATATAAGAAGTCTTGAGATCAGGTAGACTGATTCCTCTCACTTCATTATTTTTCAAAAGAATAAAGCTATTGCAGATATTCTAGTTCCTTTGCCTTTTCACATAACTTTTAGAATAATCATGTCTTTACTCATAAAAAATAATCTTTCTCGGATCTTGATATAAATTGTGCTAAACCTATATATGAATTTTGAGGAGAACTGACTTCTTAACTATGTTGAATCTTCCAATCCATGAACATGGTATGGGTATCAGTTTCCTAGAGCTGTTGTAACAAAGTACTATAAACTGAGTGGGTTAAAACAACAGAAATTTATTCTCTCACAGTTTTGGAGGCCAAAAGTCCCAAGTCAAAGTATTGGCAAGGCCGTGTCTCAGGATCCCTCTGAGACTTTAGGTAGAATCCTTGTTTGCCTCTTCCTACCTTCTGGTGGTGGCCAGCAATCCTTGTCATTACTTGGATTGCAGCTGCATCACTCTAATCTCTGCCTTTGTTGTCACATGGTGCTCTCCATGTGTGTCTCTGTTTCTCTTCTCCTCTTCTTATAAGGCCGAAAGTCATATTGGATTAAGGAACCATCCTTCCAGTACACCCTCATCTAAACTTGATTATATCTGCAAAGTTCCTATTTCCAAAGATCACATTCACAGGTCCTGGAGGTTACAACTTTAGCATATCCTTGTGGGGAATACAGTCAGACCCACAGTGGTATCTGTCTCCATTTCTTTTGATCTGTGTTTCCTTTCACCAGCATTTTGTAGTTTTCAGTGTACAAGCCCTATACATGTTTTATCAGATATACACCAAAGTGTTTCCATTTTGTTCAGCAATTGTAGATGGCATGTTTCTAATTTAGTTTCCATATGTTAATTGCTAGTGTATAGTAAATATAACTGATTTGGGCTGGGCACGGTGGCTCGCACCTGTAATCCCAGCACTTTGGGAGGCTGAGATGGGCAGATCACAAGGTCAGGAGTTCAAGACCAGCCTGGCCAATATAGTCAAACCCCATCTCTATGAAAAATACAAAAATTAGCCAGGTGCAGTGGCACACACCTGTAGTCCCAGCTAGTTTGGAGGCTGAGACAGAAGAATCGCTTGAACCTGGGAGGCAGAGGTTGCAGTGAGCTGAGATCATACCACTGCACTCCAACCTGGGTGACAGAGCGAGACTCCATCTCAAAAAAAAAAAAAAAAAAAGAAATATAACTAATTTGTATTGATCGTGTATTCTGTGACCTTGCTGAATTCACTAATTAGTTCTAAGAACTTTTTAAAAAATATATTCTTTGGGACTTTTGTATTTTCTTTGGGATTCTCTACATAGATGATGATGTCATTTGCAAATAAGGACATTTTTATTTCCCCCTTTCCTATCTGCACGTCTTGTTTCCTTTTCTTGCCTTAATGCATTGGTCAGAACTTCTAGCACTGTGTTGAATAAGAATGGTGAGAGTGGATGTCCTAGCTTGTTCCCAGTTGTAGAGGAAAACATTCAGTTTTTCATCACTAAGTATGTTAGCTGTAGTATTATTTTAGGTGCTTTTATCAAGTTGAGGAATTTCCTCATTTTTACTTTTCTGGTTTCTTTTACCATGAATGGTTGTTG